CACTAAACTTGCATCTCAACATATCCATCTCCATAATGACTGAGCAAACTCCATCCACTGAAGAAGATAACATTTCCTAATGCCAGTAATCAGCTGCTTAATTCATCTAGATTACATCCTATTTAGCTCCAAATCAACTGGGCTAGCCAATGAGCAGCTTCCTGCAGACAGATGGGAGATGTCCATCATGTCCTGTCCTGTGGTCTCCCTCCAGTCAGCTGTGGCTCGCTTGATATCAGACAGAATTGTCAAGTGGATTTAAAGGTCTGGACCTAAGCAAGTTGTGGCCACAACTGCAAACAGAGGTATTCTTCCCCAGATGGCCGAACCACCTCGGCTGGCTCATCTCAAAGTGGAAGAGCAGTTGCTCGACACAGAGGTCCTCTTGGTTCACTGAGCTCCTCACCCTGTCATAAATTGTTAACGTTAACGTGTCCAGTTGCTGCTTCCACTGATGTGGACCTCTGCCATCTATCTCTGTGAATTTGGTCATAATTTTCTAGCATAATGTATAATTAGTTCACTGCAAATTCACTGATGGCTTTTCTTTAATATAGTATGGAAACCCACTAATTGCACTTTTTCTAATGACCTTAAAAGTACTTTAGAAACTCAGACTGTCTTTAAAATGTAACGTCATTTAAAACAATTTTAGATTACTTAGAGTCTTCCTGTAAATTATTTAGTGTTATTTACTGTTTTGTACACCTCACAGTCAAAGCTATTTAAGAAACAGGCACAGTGTAATATGTCACTCTTTTTAAGGTAGCAATAGCAGCTTTAAAATGGGGTCAGACTGGACATCATTACCACTGATCCATCGTTCCCAGTAGAATATAAACTTCCCAACAAGGATTATTACATTTTAATGAAGCCAGTTACTGCAACAGATGCTCAGTGGGTCATTTTGTGAGAGAGGTCACAGCGGGTAGTGGATTTTGGAGGATATGAGCTCACTCCTTGGCAAAGATCTTGTTCTCAAGTGAGGGTAAAAGAGATAATACAGATTGCTACTGGGGCGCAGCAGCTGAGATAATACGAGTGTTGCATCCAACCATTACAGCCTGAACCACAAAGCAACATTCAGCCCGCATTGTTAATCAAAAGACAAAGGACGAGACTCTAAACGAGGTTTTATTGTAGGTATGGGGGAGTACTGTGGCAGTATGTGTGTGGAGAGTTGTGAAACTGTAAATCAATTTGTATGTGTTATTTGTGAATGTAAATAGGAATCTGCAAACATGTATTCAGATTTATACCAAGGTTGTTGGCCCTCTATCTCACGGGAAAGATGCTCCTAAAAAAACATACGTGCAATCATTTTTGTGTCAAGAGGATACAAAGCAGGCATTACTGGGAGATATAGATTCGGGAACCAGACATTTGTCCAGTTGACTTGATTTTTTTAGTGTTTACAGTAACACCAAAATAACAAAAAAGGACAGCAAAGATGGTCCTGAGCTCCGTTTGTAGCTCTGCCCAGTCTGTTCACCAGCTGCACAGACTTCACTTTAGCCTGCGGGTGGAGGGCCAGTGGGGATGGATGCTGTCCACGGTGCTGAACTCTAGTCCCATTGAGTTATAAGTATTTCAGAAAAGAAGCTGCCTCAACTGGCAAACAAGAGTGTGCAGCTGACTCTCAGTGGCGAATTTGCCAGTTCTGATTTTTCAAAATTTTACCCTAGGATTGGTTGATATGTGAATCCAATGGTGAGTTTGCGTGCACATTTATTTTATGCGCAGAGTCAAAACGTTTCTATGCATAAACTTTAATAAATGCATGATGCATAAATGCAAGTCAATGAGTAATCAAGTCATTCAAAAGCACATGCCTTGTACACAGTGCGTGCTCAGTCCTTACAACTTGGTGCAGGTGATGGCAGGAAACATCAGAATGATGGTCAATAAGCAGATACACCTCACACTAGAAGGCTGTATTGCTTCTTCTTTTAATTTAGTCTTCATTTGAAGTGTTACAAACAACACAACAACAACTCAATAAGTAATCATGTTAACTAATCGTGATATTGGGGCTGATAGAACGGGCACCCCGTGTGCAAAGGCCATGTCCTTGCCACAGCAGCTGCAGGTACGATTCATACCCCGGCTCTTTGCTCCATGTCAGCACCTCTGTCTCTTCCCCTTTCACGCAGAACTTATCTAATGGAGGCAAAAATGCCAAAAACAAAATCTGAATAAAAATAATTATGATTTTAATATTGACCAACAAAACTCTGATTATGATTTTTGCCATAATCCAACAACCCTACTTTAAAGTGCACCAAAAAACTTAACACTGAGGGAATTAATTATTTAATTTAAAACCAAAAAAAAAGGAAGAAGAAGAAAAAACTAAGACAGTCAGTATTGACAGGAAAACAATCCAGGCACTGGATTTAAAAGATGTAGAAAAACGTGGAAAGGAAATATTAAAATGTAGTGGTGTAGTGGTAAACCACCATCACATGGCATTTCAATGGCCTCTGATTGTGTCCTGCTACTATATAGGTGGGGCCATACCTGTGTTGTATGTTGTAGAAGCCCTGACAAAGACCTACAGTGGTCGAAACATGTTGGCTCTCAATGATTTAGCAATTACAATAAAGGCTTTTTTAAAATTTTCTTCCTCATATTTCTGTACTTTTTGGAATTCCTGAATTGCCTTTCTGTCGATCCTGCACCCGACACGAGTTTTTGATCTACCTTTGTGTATACAGAGCAACCAGTCATCTCTCTTTTGAGACAGTCAGTATTGTTGGACACCTGTTGAAGTGGATGCATGCACCGGCTTTTATCTTGTGTAGTCCAGCAGGTATGTGCATGCATCAGTCCCTTGAACTTGGTCCGCCATTTGAATCCTGTGCAGCAAAGGTGGATCCCCCCCCCCAACAATGAAAACTATTGTATAAAGAGGCAATCACAGAATACAAACTACAAAAGCAACGAAACCACATTTTTTTATTGCATATTTAATCATTGTTTATCATGATTTGCCATGTTAAACTTTGGTATTAGGACTATACATATCATGTTAGTTGGGCTGGTGGAGAAATTCACTTTTCCAGTGGGTTAGTGTCTGATATCATGAAGTCCCCCTGCTGATAACACCCACCAGGTGAAAAACTGTTACACTTGTGTGTCCAGACACGGAGGTCTGGCAGCTCTGAAAGACCTGAATAGAAAGTTTTTCTTCTTTCCAGCTGGTTGTGTGCCCTCCAGCTGGAGAGTTTTTCAGCTTCCTTCGCTGTTTCAACAGATGTAACTTTCTGTTTTTCCTCTCTGTGTTGCTCTAAATTGGCAAGGAAACACTGGTAAGATTGAGACCACTTATCTGGTAAGCAATGAGACACTTTTGAAAGCGATGTTACCACAACAAACCCTCTGCCGCCACACTGAAAGACTCAGCGCAAGTACACATTCAACCCCGTGATCTTAATTGCCACCATATTCTTCCATGTTTAATATTTCACCATTTAAAATCAGATAGCTTATCAAACAGGCGAGTAGAATTTAATTTGGGTGAGGCTAGTGGGTAAAAAGAAGCTGACACTTTAATAACTGGATGAATTCACAGCGCTAAATGCAAGGGTACGAAACCTCTGCATAAATGTAAGCTGGATAAGCCTCTGGGAGACGTACAAGGATAGATTCAGTGTGAGCTTGTAGCAGCCGGCCTTGCAGTTAATTCGTCTGTGAACAACGAGAAATCAGTTTCTAAACTCCTCTGCTAATGATATTTATCCAATGTCATGTGCCTCCAGCTGCTCAAACTTTTCTTCAAGTAACCTTGTTTTCAGGTTTTTCATTCTTTTTGATTTTTTTTTTTTTTTTTTGCATTTTACAAGGTAACACTGATTTTTCTGTTTGAATGTTGTTGGTGTTTTATACCTTTTATTACAAAGCTGACAGTAGGGAGAGATAAAAGTGAGGCGAGATGCAACAAACCAGGAAGCCTCCAAGTTAACAAGACAATAATGCCATATAATAACAGGTGCGTGAGAAATGTTTGTGAATAACGGCCACATTTTTCAACTTTAAATAGCTTTCTGAACTTTTTGTTATGTTTATTGATCTTATGTGTGACTGATGCTGCAAAAAACAATGTAAACAGAGAATAGCAGCGTACAGAACGTCGCTGAAAAGGTGAATAATACACCTGAAGGAGACAAAGAGAGGAAGTTAATAAAATGTGAAGGAAGAGGGTGGATAAGGATGATTAAGTTGGCTTAGCTAATCCACTTCCTCTGTTTGTTGGCCCAAAAAAAAAGTATATAAATGCTGAACATACTCAGGCAGGGATGAGAAGTGAAATGGAGGGATAAAGAGAAGAATGAGCAGTCGGATGAATTTTTCAGGTAGAGAGGGACTCAGAAAATAAATCTCCTGCATTGTTGAGGAAGAGGATGTAGCAGTTATGAGCTCATTGTTTGCAGACATTGTTTTGCCAGCGTGCCATTGCATTTTGAATTACTTGGCAGACAAGGTGGCAGAGGACTGAATGAACGGCGTCGTTGAGAGGCAATAATTGAAAGACACAGAGATGAGGAATAAAAGGCTGTGGGAGAAGTTTTCATCTGTCAAGATGAGAACAAAGTTGCCAAAGGATTTACGAGATAGAGGAGAGAAAACGGAAGCTGGTAATTGCATGGCTTCTGGCCCCCCGTGATATTATCTCTTCCTGACATGTGCGCCTCTCCTATTGATACATGCAGTGAGCATGAAGCTGTTGCGGTGCCTTTCTGTCATTTCCCTCACACTCCTGTTACATTTCTCTTTGTGTCTTACTGATGACAGACGCCAGATGAAGAAGATAAATGGGAGAAGGAAGAAAGGCACATTACAGGGCAATGCTCCTGACTATACCTATACGTTCCCTCGAAAACAGGGAGCACTTCAACTCAATCATAGCCTTGTAGGGAGTTTCAGCAGCGGACTTCAGCAGGGCAAGTGTAAATCCACTAACACCCTTCTCTGTCTCCATGTCTCTGTCTCTCTCTCAGGCTCAGTGTCCCTCAGTGTATTCCTGGTGTCTGTCGCATCAGTAGTATGTGCCGTTTGGCTGGTAGCTCTATGTGGCGTCTGCACCTGGTGTCAACGGAAACTGGTAAGTTACAGTGCTTATTATTCACATTTCATGTTGATGTATATTTAAAATGTTTTAGAGAATGATGTGCTAACTGAATCCCTAACTGATCAAGGTCCAACAAGTTCCCATCCTAGTTCGTCAAATAGTGATGAATTGTCACGCCCCCTCTGCATCTCACAGCAATGTGAAGGCCACAGAGCTGAAACACATTGTAACACGATGTTAATGTTGTGAAATGGTCATGGTTAGGTTAGGGCAACAAAACTACTATGTTAAGGTTCAGAAAAAAAGTCATGTTTTGAGATAAAAGAAGTATGTAACATGACATAAAAACATCACGAGTGACATCAGTGCACAAAAACTAAAGATGTACCAATACCACTTTTTCCTTCCCGATACCGATCCCTGAACCTTAGGTATCTGCCGATACCGAGTACTGATCCGATACCAGTGCGTAAAATAAAAATGGATGGGATATGAAATGTTGTATGTCTAAATTTCTAAAACTCTATGTAAAATATTAAGAAATAAATACATAATAGTAGAATGAATGCCATAAAACTTTTTTTATTATTATTATCCAGTGTTGACACAGATCAAGACACAGGTTAAACTGCAGCCACACAATTTGGTAAAAAAGACATTTTAAAGGCTACAGTAGAATGCTTTTTAAACTCCACTCTGTTTCCTTTTCGTTTGCCTGTAGCGTGCGTGGTATCGGATTGGTCATAGGCTGTACTCGCCAATGATACCACATTTTAGGCAGTATCGGAGGCATTTCCAATACTGGTATCGGTATCGGTACAACTCTAACAAAAGCCATACATATATTGCCCAATGGTAACTTAAAACAACATAAGCTTTTGGTTTCATACTGGACAAAAATTGTCTCCAGGCTGAAAGCTTTATCCACGCACCTCCCCTCCATCTCACCTTGTGTGGACTTTCTCACTCTTTATACTACATCAGTTGCTCTTAGCATCTACGAATACCGCAGATGGGTTAACATTGGAGTTAGTTGACAGCCCATTGTGTCTCATAAAAATGCTTCAGGCTTCCTTTTGTGTCGATTTGACACGGCGTTGATTATAAAGTACCGATATTTGACATCTTGGGAATAAGAACAGGCTTATGAACCACAACACGTTGGTCATGACGAAGACGGGGTAAACAGGCACTAAAATATTTACAGCAGTATATGCAGATGATGATGATGTAATAATGATCTGACATCGGTACAACTGGTCATATAATTTCTTTATTGGCTGAATTCTTCTTGTGCCAAATTCAGAATTTGATGACACTCAATAAGTGTACATAAATTACTGAAATATTTTAAAACAAAAGTTTGGAGCCTAGTTTCCTTCATGTCAAGTTTTTGTGCATTAACGTCAAAGTGTTTCATGTAGTTATTGTCTTTTATTGGACAAAAAATTTAGCAAATAAAACAAGTTCTTTCCACTGTGCAGATGAAATAAGTCACTTTTTTTTATATTAGCGCTGATTTGATAACTGAGTTGTTCTTGATACCAAAATAGAGCTGCAAAGATTAGTTGATTAATCGATTGGTTGACTGTTTTCATTATTGATTCCTCATTTAAGTAATGCCAAACACTTCCTGGTATAAGTCTCTCCAATAAAAATTGTTTTTTTAGTTTTGAGTTATAGCTTTATACATTGTTATCTGTGGGATTTGGACTGTTGACCGGGAGAAAAAAACAGACTTTTAAAGACGTCACATTCGACTTAATGGGCACTTTTAATTATTTTCTGTATTTGTGTAATAATTAATTGAATGATTAGTTATCAGTTAATTAATCAAGACTTTAATCAGTGGATTCATTGATGAAAATACAGTGGAAACAGCTGATCACGTCTGTCAAGGTAGAATTGAGCACTTTAGATGGATGAATATTATAACCTATTAGATTAGTTTTAGTTTTTCTGTTATTGTAATATGGGAGGTATTTGTCAGAGGAAACATTTAAGAAGATCAGAATAGGTATTACAATACAGTCATGTCGCCACCCCAGTCTCTGTAAACATATGCACCCATGCCACCTCATAAGTTACAAAATTGCAAAAGTTTCAACTTGGTTTCATGTTTTTTTTTTCTCTAAAGTCTAGTTTTTAATTTTCATTTTAGTTTTTAAATGTCTTCTCACACCCAGTTTTAGTTCATAACTGAGTTATAACAGTCAAGTTTTCCTTTGATAGCCATGATTCCACCAGCCTGTCTGGATGCGCATCTAGAAGTATCGGAAGCATTGGAAAATTGTGATGGAAATGCCAAAATTCGAATTAAAATCCCCTGATTCGCACAAACTAAAATACGCTCACTTTAGCTGGGTTTTGGTTGATTCGAAAAAATGTTGATTTGCAAAATGGGGGATGGAAACAGTTATGTTCGAATTAAGTCTGACGTAGCGCACCTCTCTCCATGGTGACATCCACACTCCAGGTCGGGAAGGCGGTAATGCATTTACAAGCTGGTTGCCAACCACCAGAAAACATAGAAGAAGAAGAATGCGAGACTTGTTTTGTTTCTGGTTCTGCGGAAAACTCGCACAAGTTCGTAGTTTTCACCATAGTCCGTACATTTAATGGAAACACACAGGATTTGTATTTGTTTTAATGCGCATTTCCCATTGATTCAAATCACTTTTGGATGGAAACATAGCTACTGTGACCTTGAACTGGATGTATACTGTGATTAGTCTGCTACAAGCCGTTGTTGTATAATATTGTCTCGCTTGCTGTGCTGTGTGGGACGGGAGCCAGAGAGAGGCTGTATGTTTGGCCATGACAGCAAACACGAACGAGACCTTCGTGCACTCTGTAAACATGGCTTTGTGCTCTCTGAGCTTTGTGCATTATGGCTGCTCGCCTCCAGCCTCCAGTGCCATGCTAATGATTCATATGCTAATGAGCATCACTCTGAGCTCCTGGAGAAACTGTAATTCCTCCTATACATTTTGATCCTCTGGCATTTCCTACACTCTGCCCTGCCCCCCACTCCACCTCCCGTTTGTCCCCTCTCTCATCTCTGTCCGTCTCTCTGTTTGAGGAATGATTGCAGCTCGGCGGCTGATCAAACATACACAGGCTGAGAGTTAACTCGGCTATTCAGAAGAAAAACAGCCAAACTAAATGACATGATTTTCCAGGGAACATTTATGACTTTTTACTAGACTTATAAAGTATGTTAAGTGCTCTTTAAAATCTAAATAGCTATCATTGCTTTGGAGTGCAGAACCCACTGAACCTGACAAACAAACCCATTTCTTATCTTTGTTTACCCTCAAGTTATCTATGTCTCTGTCTTTGTTTTGTGTCACCCTCCTTCTCCTTTTATATGGAACAGTCTGGTTTGTTCGTCCTTTTGTCACGTTATCTCCATGTCCTTGTCAGAATGTCACTTGATTTCGTTTTCCAGGATTGTCCCGCTCCTCTCTCGTCTCTCCGCTGCCACTGTAGTTTCCCCTTCATAGTCCTTGTCTCTGTTTTTTTCATCTTCCTTATTATCTTTTGTTTGTTTTGTGTGTCACGCTCCTAAAGGTTAAACAAATAAACACCTACAGGTAAAGAACAGAGGCGATGTGCCAGATGTGAGAATATAAAAATGTCAGTAATATCGCTGCAACTAATGATTATTTTTGTCATCTAATAATCTGCTGGTTAATTTTTTGATGAATGGTTTTGCCTGTAAAATGTCAAACGTTCCCTGAGTCTGAGTTGGCATTGTCATGTTGCTTATTTTGTCCAACAAACAGTCCAAAACTCAAAGATATCAAATTTATTATCATATAAGACAAAGAAAAGAAGCAAAACCTCACATTTGAGAAGCTGGGAAAAGAACATGTTTGACATTGTTGCTCAAAAAATAAATAAATAATCAACTTTCAAAACAGCTGTTAATTAATTTTCTGTCCTAGTTTTCAAAAGGCAAATAAGTCAGTTAAACTCGGTTCATCCTCCAGTCTGTTACACTGAAACACCCAGCCAGATGTTCGTCAACAGCAGCAGCACCTCACTAGTTTATATTCAACATGTGCATCAGCGGTGCTCCAAATGAGACCGTGTTTTATCTGTATCATAGACATGTGTATAACAGTACCTTACAGTACATTATATAATTAAATTCACTTTTAAGAGATCTAATATTAAAGGTACTGTGCATCTGACTGGTGATACATAGCGGGTATGCTTATGTTTCTCTGTAAATAATTTCTATTTATCCTTCCTTGAGTCTGTGTTTAATAGCTAAAACTTCAGACCCCTAGTTTACGTGTCACTTCTAATCTAAAATGGGCACTTGGGTGTCAATAATGTTTTCTTTAGGCTCCTTCTCAGCTGATATGTCATCCTCTGAGCATTCACCACCCTGCTCTACTGCCTGGCTCTGGGGTTTTCCCTGTTTGCTGAAGTATAGAAAATGAGAAGAAGCGAGTCTTGCTGTCCCCCTCAAAGGACATGGGTTGAATATGTGTTTTAAAAGGCTTAAAATGAACAAACCCTCCTAAAATCTTTATAGAATAAGCTATAGTTAAGACTCTCTAATAAAATTAAAAAACAATCTTCAGATGAAGAACAGAAACAATATATCTTAATAAAATGGATCAGATGTCTCCCTTACTGCCATAAAATGTGTTCCTCCCTTTCCTCCCTTTTTGAAAAGACGTTTCTGTATTCTGTTGGTCACACCCTCATGTGTGATACATCACTGAAAATGTCCAGGATGTGGTATTCACAATACATCCAGACTCATACATGTATGGTCAATCCAGTCTCTCTGAAGTCATCAAAATCTGGCGCTTGGGCACTGACGAAAAAGCCGTCCTTTAACGTCGACATGATACGTGGCCAGTCACTGATGTATGCCTTTTATTATTCTACTTCTTTTCTTATCCTGACTGTTCAATGTATTGAGCCTGTTTTTATTTTATGTTACTGTATTTTATTATTATCACTATCATTCTCAATTTCTATTCCCCTTTTTAATCGACTGTTTTTATTGT